TGGGAATAATTACTCTTTGGAACGGTTATTTATGGTGGGATTGACTTTACTCTTGCACTTAATTATTGTTAATGTATAAACTTGAGATCTTTGAAAATGTCATGTTTTCTTTCAAAATTTACGTATGCTATTTGTGAAATGAGACCGACCATTTTCTACGTTTTCCAAACCTTGTTAGAGTTTGGGAGGATTTTCCTATAGTGCGTAGTGCTCTCCCCCTAACAATAATATTTTTTTTTTTAGATTTTGTGCTAGAGGAAGATCTCGGTGTTGACGAGTCGGGAAATTGGGAGATTCCACCAGAGGGGAACCTAGATCCCGAGGTGGACATCTAGAACTATAGTTTATTTTTGTGCTAGACTAAGGAATTTATTTACAATCATGTATAGTCTAGTATTTTGTTTATTCCGCTGCTAAGTTTGAGTGTAATTCTTTTGGAATGTAAGTGTCATAGCTTGGCCTATTCTTTTGGGATGATATGGTGGATATTACATGTGGTGAATAAAATTTTATTATTTGATGGGTAAATGGACCCGATGTGGTCAATATTTATTCTTATATGGACCCGGTGTGGTCAATTGAGTATAATTGCATAGGTTGTGTTTTGGGTAGAGCTCCCCGTACAAAGGAGACTCTGCCCGAATTTTGTTAAATTAAGGACCCCCGATTTTTGGGGTGTTACAGACACTCTGCCCAATCTGTATCTGAGAAAGCAAAAGGATCAAGTGTACTATGTGAAGAAAAATGTAATCCCATTTCAATTGTTCCTTTGACATATCGTAGGATATGTCGAACAATTTTTAAGTGTGTCATTGTGGGAGTATGCATGAATTGGGATACATAATTAACACTAAATGAAATATTTGCGCAAGTGAGTTTAAGATATTGTGATGCTCCAACATGACATCGATAGTAACTTGGGTCTTCCAAGAGAATTGCATTGGAAGAAGTTTTGGTTTTAGCTTCAAGAGGTGTACTCATTGGCTTGCAATCTACCATATTGGAGCGTTCAAGTATGGTAAGGGCATAGTGGGACTGAGATAGATGAAGCCCCCTATTTGTTGTCATGATTTTCATTCCAAGAAAGTGGTGAATTGGTCCCAAATCTTTCATTGCGAAGTCACTACATAATAACATAATGAACTTTTCAACAAGTTCTGGAGTAGATTCTGTAAGCAATATGTCATCCACATAAAGTAGTAAGATTAGTGAACCAAATTCAAAATGAAAAACAAATAATGAAGGATCGGCTAAACTACAAAAAAAATCCAAATTTAAGAAGAAAAGCACTAAATCGATCAAACCAAGAACGTGGTGCTTGTTTTAACCCATAGAGTGCTTCTGGTAATTTACAAACATATTTTGGATGTTCTAGATCTGCCATTCCTAGTGGCTGCTGCATATAAAGATCTTTAGAAATTAGGCCATGCAAAAAAACATTTTTTTACATCTAGTCGTCGAATAGACCACCACTTAACAAGAACGATAGTTATAATCATCCAGATTGTTCCTAGTTTGATCACAGGAGAAAAAGATTCAATGTAGTCTACTCTATCAACTTGATGATATCCTTTTGCAACCAAACACACTTTGAGTCAACCTAAAGTCCCATTAGGCTTGAGTTTTGACTTGAATACCCACTTTGAACCAATGAAATTCATGTTAGATGTGTGAGGAACGAGTTTCCATGTTTTGTTGTGATGAAGAGCAGCAAGCTCTTCATTCATTGCTGCTTTCCAACTAGGATGTGTTAAGGCTGTTTTGATATTTTGTGGCTCAAGTGATACACTGGCAGAGGTGATTGTGGTCAAGGCATACTTAGGGTTGGGTTTTACCACACCTAGTTTTGATCTAGTGACCATGGGATGTATGTTTCCTGAAGGGGCAGGTGTTGGATTGGTGATCCTGTTGATGTGGTTGCTGGTTGTGGGGCTACGATTTGTGGTATTTCTAAAGTTTCTGGTGTGTGTGTCTCATGTGATGATGGATTTTCCGATGTGTCAATGCTATCATCAATTTCGGTAAGATCATTTTCAAAAATTTCCTATGGTGGTTTGAGGTACTACATTGAGGAGAGGTTATGGTGAAGATTCAAGTGACATGGAATTTTGTGGGATTGTTGTTGTGTCTTGAAGTTGTGGTAAGGGACTTAAACATAGAGCTGTGGAGGAGATCGAATGTGTCCTTGCAGAAAGAGGAATATTAGTATGTGGTAACCAAGTGTCAAAAATATTTATAGCCAATGGCTTTGCTGTTGTCATACAAGAATTATTTGTAGGCTTATAAGAAAAAAATTGCTCATCAAAGACAACATGCTGGATCATAAAAAAAATTTTGCTTGATGGATGAAAACATTTATAAGCCTTATGTTTTTCACTGTAGCCTACAAAGATGCAAAAAAGCGTTTTAGGATCAAACTTGTGACGCCGTGTGTCCCAAGTGTAGGGGAAACACATAGATTCAAAGGCACGAAGTGATGAATAAACCGGATGTTTTCCATGCAATGCAAAATATGGGGTTTCAAAATTGAGAGTTGATGAGGGTAGTGGATTCATGAGGTACACTGCTGTGAAAAAAACTTCTACCCATAAAAATAAAGGAGCACCACAATGAAACAACATAGTCATACCTAATTCTCTTATAGTTCTATGTCATCTTTCAACCATACTAGTTTGCTCGGAGGTATATGGAGCTAATATTTGGTGAACAGTGCCTATGGAAAAAAAGTGAGTTGATAGCTTGAAATTAACGAACTCACCTCCTCCATTAGAATGAAATATTTTTATTTGCATGTTTGAATTGCCTATCAACATATTTTTCAAAGGTTAGATATGCATTGAAAAAAATCAGATTTTTGCCATGAAGGAATAATCCATGTATACTTTGAAAAATCATCAACCAAACAAGCATAATATTTGAATTTTGCAATAGAAAGAATAGGAGCAGGTCCCCACAAATCACAATGAAGTTTCTCAAAAATACTTGTACTCGAATGTTCCGAACAAGAAAAAGGTAAATGACTAGACTTTCCTAGTTGACAACTATCACAAAGATGTTGTGATTTTGTTGTCCCTACAACACCAATTAACCCTTTATTTTTTAACATTTTCAAAGCTGAAGATTGAGGGTGGCTGAGGCATTGATGCCAAACTTCTGTTGTGCCGGACTTGAAGCGATTAGAGAAATAAAGTTCCGGTGAAGTGGATAGGACATAGAGATCACTCTTGCGTTTCCCTGTCATCATTGCTTGTCCTGTTTCCCATTCCTTAACACAAAAATCCACATTAGAAAATTCACAATTGATAGGAAACTGAATGGTGGGATGACTCACAGAGAGCAAATTCTTTTTTAGATTAGGAACTAATAACACATCATTTAGAGGTAAGGCTGATTTTTTTTGTTTTATATAAGAGTCTCCAATTTCAAGAATTGGCATGGAAGATCCATCTCCTATTAACACTGAATCAGAACCAGAGTAATGACGAATGTTAGTTAACATACTTGACGTACCTGTCATGTGATTGGAAGCTCCTATGTCGGTAATCCATTCCGTGTCTACTATGGTATTGTCCAATGTCAATGCCACAAGTTCTTGTGGAATTTCATTTTGGGGAGTTGATTTTTTTGGTACCCACCAGCATATCTTTGCAATATGGCCCATCATTCCATAGTATTGACATTGCTGATCACGATATTTCTCCCTTTCGGAAGGTGTCATGCGACGTTCACCTGGTGGTGGAGGTATGCATTGTGCACTTGCAAGAGAAGAGTTGTATGCTTGACTTGAATTCTTGCTTTGTTGTGCTTGGAATCCACGTCCAGTTAACGTAAATTTTTGTGCTGGTCCATGGTATCCTAAGTTGTTTGATTGAGAACGTAGCTATTGTTGACCATAAAATGCTACTTGATGTCTGAGTGTTGATGCTTGAATGTTGGTGTGGTTGGAAAACCAATTTCGCCTTTGATCATAATTTTGGAGTTGAGAAACCAACTCAAAATAGGATGGTCATGGAGGTTTTAACATGGTTGTTGTGAATGTTTCATATTGTGGACCAAGACTGGTGATAAGACAGAATACATTTTCTTGGTCTGGAACTGGTTTCCCAACTGCTGCTAAATTGTCACAGAGACCTTAAAATGTTTGGATGTGCTCTATGATTGTTGTGTGGTCTTCTTTTTGAAGGTAGGTAAGTTATTGGCACAAAGTGAATTCACGTTTTTGTGATTCTTGGGCATATGCACTTTTGAGAGCCTCCCAAACTACACGTTCTGTATCAAGACCAATAACGAGGCCGAAAGCTTCCTTAGAGAGTGTTCCAATGATCCACCCTCGAAGAAGACGATCATACTTTCACCATGTGATGAACACATCTGTTAATTGAGGATTTGTGTTGTCTGCATTTGAGGAGTTACTTGAGTCTGGAATGACATATTTCTTTAGTGCAGGATCTTCATTTGTGAGATGTCCCACTAATTCTTGGCTTTCAGCAAGAGCTATTGCTTGCTCATGCCACAAGGGGTAGTTATTTGGAGTGACTCTTAGAGTGATGAAGTTCCCAACATTGAGAGATAGTGTAGTCATGGTGAGAAGAAGAAAGAGCTGTGGTTTGTTGCCTAAGGTTCACTATGGCTCTGATAACAAGAAGAAAAAAAAGATAAAAATAGAGGAAAAAGAAAGCTTGAATTGATATGTCTCTTATTCAATAATTGGCAACGTGAACCATTAGACATTACAAGAGGAGTATTTAAACAAGTAATACAACGAAATGAATCCCACAAAATCTGCTACAAATGGTCTAATTTTTCATAAAATTTGCTATAAATGGTCTGATTTTTAGGACTTGCTGGATCATCGTTTTGGTTTAAACTTATTGTCGTTGTCTCTCCACTGATTTTAGCAATAGTGTGAGAGTCTTCCCCCTTTTTTCTCCATGCTTCCTTATTGTTCCATTGACTATCACTACTGTTGAGTGTGTCGAGATATGATTTGTTGCTAATAGGGAGATGATTACTGTTAGTCAGTTTCACCTGAGAACTAAAACATCCAATAACTATGCTAATGCACTCCTCACCGCCACCTCCAGAAATAACTGTTTGAAGGAGAGAAGAGGAAGCACTAGTAGCATGGGTGGGTGGGGACATGGTGTGAGGTGGCTGGAAAGTGGAGGGGGAGCTAGAGACAGGGAGGTTATTGTTTGTGGGTGGTTGAGCGAGAGAAAAGCAGTGGTGGGTTAGGTTTGAGTCAAGTTTGGTTCAGAATGTAGTGACAACATGAAAATCTTTTTGCCATCTCCTTAATGGATTTAGTTGTTCATCCTAATCCAAAACCAAAAGAAGGTTATATGATAGTTTTACAACCATGGAGGACTACAACGACACAATATTAGAACACATGAAGATACATAGAAATTTACCCTAATAGTAATTTAATTTGGACAAAAAAATTGACTTAATTTGTTTATCTAATGATGTGATTTTATTGGAACTATTGAATCAACATTAAGTTCTAATGTTCAATGGGATCTACAATCAATCCAAAGAGTAAAGTGAATTAAATCAACAAATAAGATCAACAAATGAGGTTCCAATAACATTGTTATTTTATATTTAATGCAGAACAAAAAAGGCCCATTAAAGAGACAATGGGGATGGTCCGGTCGATGGTTTATTTGGTATATCCACAGTACGGAGGTCAAAAACTCTATGATTTGACGGTCCAGTTAGGTTGGATACCATACAATAAGTGTAGTTCTTTTCTACTACTTAGAACAACTCCAACTCACTCTCTATTTCCCATTTCACCCAAATGGCTCTCTAAATGTGGAGAGCCTCTCCACATTCTCTTTTTATCTCTTTCTATATATATATATATGTTGTAATTCCTTTTAATTATTAGAAGTTAGTGAAAGTTAGGTGAATTAGTTATCTAAAATAGAGAGCGTGGTTGGAGTAAACTTGTAAAAGCGACTCTCTAAAATAGAGAATGTAATATTTAAATATATTTTGCATAGCTAAAATGAAGAGTTGGGTTGAAATTGCTATTAGGTAGGAATCCATGTGCTTATCCACCTATCAAATTTATAATTTTGGTATCATACATCCATTTACCATATTTGTGGTTACTTTTTATCACATTTATGGATCTTTTTACCACTGTTGTGGTACTCCAACAAAAGGTAAACATAGTTACCATAGCAATGGTAAACACATCCATAAATATGATAAAAACACCAACAAATGTAGTAAAAACACCTACAAATGTGATAAATTTTTTTGTACCAAAGACAAGTGCTAAAAATAGTTATCACAAATGTGGTAAAAACTCCCACAACAGTGATGAAAATACTTACAAAAGTGATAAATCACCTACAAAAGTGGTAAATATTTTGATTGTACAATAACCCAAAAAATTTGTAAAAATACCTATTAAAATAGTAAAAGTTAGATATAGAACCATTCACTCTCCCTTGACTTCATACGTTTCCTTGATCTGCTTTACAATTGGCTGGGAGTCGTTGTAGATCACGAGTTGTTCTGCCTCCATGGGATTCGTACTCAGCTTCATTTTTTGAAGCCTTGAATCCGAACTTGAGGGTGTATTCAATGTCTATTCCATCGAGGGAGGTTAGGATTAATCCAGCACTGCTGCCTTGGGTGTTGGCAGCTTCGTCTACTGAAAGCTTCCACATTGGGAGGTCGGGTACCAACTAAGTTGCCTCTATGGATGCTTCTGGGCCTGTTGTGAATTCTATAATGAAATCTACCAGTATTTGCCCCTTGATCGCGATTCTTGGCTTGTACCTGATGTCGAACTCACTGAGTTCTATCACCCATTTGACTAGCCTCCCTGATGACTCTCATTTGTGCAACACATGCTTCATTGGTTAGTCTGTAGGGACCTCAATCCTATGAGCCTAGAAATAAAGCTTGACCCTCCTTGCTATTGTTACAAGAACTAAGACTAACTTCTCCATTTTTGAATATCTCTCCTCTACCCCCTCAAAGCTCTGCTATAGTAGTAAACTGGTTGCTGAGCTTTGTCTCGCTCTCTAACCAATGCTGCATTGGTTGAGAAATCCAAGACAACAAGGTATAGGGTGAGCACTTCTCCCTCTCTAGGGCTCACAAGGATTAGGGGTGAGCTGAGGTAGTCCTTGAGGGCTTTGAATGCCTTCTCGCACTGTGTATCCCACGAGAATACCTTTTTCAAGATTTGGAAGAAAGGTTGACACTTGTCGCTTAACTTGGAGACAAAGCGACTTAAGACAGTTATCCTTCCCATTAGGTGCTAAACTTCTTTTGTTTTTGAGGGTGCTTGCATATCTATTATAGCTCTGACCTTATTTGGTTTAGCCTCTAATCCTTGGCTATTGACTATGAAATCCAAAAATTTTCTAGCAGATATTCCAAAGGCGCATTTGACTAGGTTGAGCTTCATCTGATACTTCTTAAAGATCTGGAAAGACTCTTTGAGGTGTACAATATGGAGCTCAAATTTCAATGACTTCACCAACATGTCATCGATGTACAACTCCATTGACGTCTTGATCTGTTTCTAGAACATACGGTTCACCAAACACTGATAAATAGCTCTAGCGTTCTTCAGTTCAAATGACATAACCTGGTAGCGGTATGTCCCTTGCTCAATTATGAAGGATGTCTATTCTTGGTCTCTGGGGTCCATCCTGATCTGGTTGTATCCAAAAAAGGCATCCAAGAAACTTAGGAGCTCATACCCTACTGTGGCATCCAAGAATAGATCAATTTAGGGAAGTGGGAAGCTATTTTTGGGGTAGGCGTGGTTTAGATCAGTGAAATCAATGTAGAGGGTCCACTTGCCATTGGATTTTTTGACGAGGACCACATTGACTAGTCAGGTCAGGTAATCCACTTGCCTGATGGCTTTGGCATGGAGAAGCTTGCCGACCTCCTAGCTAATCGTTTATGGTGCTCTAGGGCAAAAATCCTTCATTTTTGTTTGATGGGCTTGAAAGTTGGGTTCACGCTGAGCTTGTGTGTGATGAATGAAGGGTCAATCCCCTGCATATCCTCTTGTTTCCATACAAACACCTCCATATTGTTTTTGAGGAATTGAATGAGGATGTATTTAACCTCTTTGGGCAGCTTTGATCACACGTATACCAAATGTTCTAGTTCTTCGTCGAGTTAGATAGGCTCTAGCTCTTCTGAAGGCATCGATCTTGTCTCTAGCTCATCTGTCATGTCGAGCTCATCCAACTGTATAGTCTTAACCTCTTTCTTTTTCATCTCAACCTTTTTCTTTTTCATAAACGCCATGTAGCATTCTCGTGTCATTTGTTGGTCTCCTCGGACCACTCCAACATCATTTTCGATGGAAAACTTCATCATGAGGTGATAGGCAGAAGGAATAGCCCTCATGGCGTTGAGGGAAGGCCTACCTAGTAGAATATTATACGTTGAAGGGGCATCCACTACCAGGAATCTCACTGAGGTGGTGGATTGGCAGGGTAGGTCTTTTATTGTGAGAACAAGCTGGATTGAGCCTAGGGGTAACACCCTCTCCCTCCTAAGAATCCAAGTAGGTGAGTCCTCACTGGTTCAAGCTTGTATCTGCATATATTTATCTTGTCAAAGGCGAAAGCGAAGATGATGTCGGCAGAGCTCCCATTGTCGATTAGAACCCTGTGGACAGTTCTATTTGTGATGATAGCCCTCACCACCAAGGGATCATCATGGGGATGCTAACATCCTTCCAGATTTGCATCTGAGAAAGTTATGTCCATGGTCAACCGAGGTGCTTTGGACACAGCTTGCACCTCCAGTACTTCCTCGGCTTGGACTTTGCACATATGGCTTTCCTGGCTGAGCTGGATTTTCCACCTTCAGCAAATTCTCTTGATATTACTCTGATTTATCCCAAGGCCTGTTGGTGTTGTGCAGGAACTTGCTACTGAGGTGCTGGGGTGGGTGAGCTCGGTTCTGATTGTCATACGCCACAAAGTGGTGTAGTTGCCCCCTCTGAATCAAGAACTCGATCTTTTTCTTCAACTGGATACAACCATTGGTGAGGTGACCGTGGTCCCCATGCTAGTCATAGTATTTCATCGTATCCCATTTTGCGGCGTCTACCTTCATTCAAGGTAGCCACCTCAGAAACTTCTCATTCTGTACTTCATAGAGGACCTAAGACACCGTGATGTTGAGGGGAGTAAACTGCCGTGGTGCAAATCTTGGTTGTAACTCTAGGGGTATGGGACCTAGGCGATCTCTAATGTCTCCTCTTCTTTTCAGAGAGTAATATTTCTCTCTTCATGGAGAGCTGTCTCGAGTTCTCTATTTTTTGGGACTTTGGTCCCTCTTCTTCTTCTTGTGTGTGGTTGAGCCCCCTACCTTGGAAAGGAGAGCTTCCTCATCATTGATGTATTTCTCTACTTTGGCAAAGACCTCTGCCATACTGGCTTGTGAATTTTTGGAGATGGAGAACATTAAATCCTTTGACTAGACACCCAGCCCAACAATGAATGCAGTGAGGGCAAATTTTTCATCAGGAACGTCTACTTTCAATGATTCTGAGTTGAACTTCTGGACATAGCTTCGTAACGTCTCATTGGGTCCCTACTTTACATTCAGCAAGTGATAGCTCGACTTTTGATAAATCTGAGCTCCTATGAAATATAAAACGAATGAGAAGGAGAGCTATTTGAAGGAGGAGATGAACACTAGGGTTAGCCTATTGAACCATGCTAAGGTTGGGCCCTTTAATGTGATGACAACAACTCGACAACGTACTGAGTCTTGATAGCTATAGAGCTCTATCAGGTTTTTATAGGTATTGAGATGGTCCATGTGATCTTTTGTCTCATCAAATGTCTCCATCTGAGGCACTCTGAATTTTGGTGGAAAGGGAAAGTGCAACATCTATGCAGTAAAGGAAGACTCAGTTTGCTAAACTAAGGCATCCATAGTCATTGGGGTCTTGTCTCTTACAACCTCCTTCATGTGGCTGAGCTCTCGTTGAATTTTCTTGAAACATTGCTCCCAATACTATTCTTTCCTCTCCTGCTGATGTTGAGGAAATTCATTCTTATAGGTTCCTTTATTCTGACTATGTACTTCTTCATTGTCCTCGTTCCTATGAGCTCGATGATGGGCATTGTCCATTGTCTGGCTATGCTCATCCCCCTCAGTGATGTCTCTCAAGGGGTTAATGTGTTGTTGTTCCCCCTGTGGGGGATCATTCCGAGTTGGTTATG